TCTTTCTTTCTTTCTTTCTTTCTTTCTTTCTTTCTTTCTTTCTTTCTTTCTTTCTTTTCTTCTTTCAGAGAGAGAGCATACACTAGTGGGGGCAGGAGGTGGGCAGAGGGAGAGGGAAGAGAGAATCTCAAGCAGGCTCCATGCCGAGCGCAGAGCCCAAGGTGGGATTCAATCTTATGACCCTGAGGTCATGACCTGAACCAAAATCAAGAGTGGGACACCTAACTGACTGAGCCACCCAGGCACCCCGGGAATGCAGCATTCTCTCATTTAATCCCCACACCACCACCATTTTGCGGGCAATAAAACTGAGGCACAGCAAATTTGTATAACTTGTGCTAAGTCACAGCAATAGTAAGTGCCAGAGCTGGGCTGTGAGTCCAGGCAGTCTGGCTCCAAAATCCATGCTCTTATCCACTATGCTAATCTCCTCTCTTAATAATAACAATGCTAATATAATAAAAATAATTTGTGAGAATTTACTAAGTCCCAGACATAGTGCTAAAGCACTTTACATACATTTCTTTTTTCATCTAATGCTTACACTAACCCTATAAGGCAAGTGTTTTATTATCTTTTTAAAGATAAAGAAAGTGAAGAGAGATTAAATAACTTCCCTGAGGTTGCACGATTAGTAAATAGTGAAGCATCTCCTAGAACATATTCTGCAAAACACTGATTGCCCCAAAAAATAGTTCCCATAGTCATTTAAGTTGGGAAAACATGACACCTCTAGGAGAGTTATAGTCTACATCAATAAAAGTCTCCCATAAATCCTTCAAGTATCCTAATTGACTTTGGTTTCCCAAAACTGGCTTAACCATGGAACCCTTATTCTTCCAGTGCATATCAATATCCCACCGAAGTATCACTGCATTACACTACTTTGAGGATAGACTGGCTTTAACCAGACTCACTAGACATTAACCAGGTTCACTGGACAGGCTCATGGAACTAGAAAGCCAGTTTCCATTTGCAATAAAAATAAAACCAATGAGAACCAGATACTAAAAAATACTTGACTTTCTCTTTCCAGCTTTATTTTTCCCTTTCTCAAAGATGCTTGGGAAGCCAAGGCATAAAACTAATATACTCATTTTCAGGGGCACATTATTATGGGAGTGGAGGTGGGATGAGATGAGGCGAATTCTGGCAGTGCTCAGGACCAGTGCATTCAATACCTGCAGGCAGACTAGACTCACCCAGTCCCTCACCTGGAATGATGCAGTAGCTTCTTAACTGACCTTCCTGCCTCCAACACGGCCACCATCCTTTCCTTTTCTTACTCTTTCACCAGAAAAAGTTGAAATTTGCACACGCACACACACACACATAAAGACATGTCAGTTTGCTATTTCAGATTTTTCACGGGATCCCCAATGCAGTGGAAGTCCACATTTCCTAACATGGTCTACAGGGCTTGCATGAGCAGCTCCTGCCTATTCCTCCTTTGTGGTCCCACTACTACACTCCAGCCAACCAATCATCTTTCAATTTCTTTTTTTTTTTTTAAAGATTTTATTTATTTATTTATTTGAGAGAGAGAGAGCAGGAGAGTGGGGAGGGTCTGAGAGAGAAGCAGACTCCCTGCCGAGCAGGGAGCCCGATGCGGGACTCGATCCCGGGACTCCAGGATCATGACCTGAGCCGAAGGCAGTCGCTTAACCAACTGAGCCACCCAGGCGCCCTCATCTTTCAATTTCTTAAGTAAACCAGACACTCTGTTGCCTAAGTCTTCACTCCCCTCTCCCTGAAACATCCTTCCGCACCCCTTTTTATACCTGGATAACTTGTTCATCTTTCTGACCATTGCTTATATACCTCACTTCCTCCAAAAAGCTTCCTTAATTCCACTTCCTCAATCTGAGTTACAGGCTTCCTATACCTCCCAGATACCCTCTTCTACCCGATACCCTATACTGCTTTATCAGAATACTTATGGTGCTATGTCATAATTATCTGTTCACTTTTTAGTATCTACCACCGTGTATTTATTGAGCTTGTATTTATTAGGCAGTGACCTAATCAACATTTATATCCATGCCTTGAATGGCAACATAAAATGACATGCATAAAATTCCTGGAGGACAGGAAGTTGTGGAGAATATTAAATATATTGAATATATGCTTAGGGTCTACAATTATATTAAGAGCTTGGAATAATTAACCAGATTCAATAAGATGAAATTTAATATGAATACATGCAAAGCCTTAAAACTGAGCTACAAAGAAGAAAACCTTTGTATAGATATGGCTGGCTTCTAGGGATCTGTATTGAATCATAATGCACTACTGGTAGAAATGACATCAGAATGTATTTTTATTTTTTTTTAATTTTTTTATTATATTATGTTAATCACCATACATTACATCATTAGTTTTTGATGTAGTGTTCCATGATTCATTGTTTGCATATAACACCCAGTGCTCCATGCAGTACGTCCCTCTTTAATACCCATCACCAGGCTAACCCATCCCCCCACCCTAAAGGTTTTTGCTTTAACAGATGCTTAATGTAAATCAAAAATAAGGTAAAACTATTCAAAATACTAATGATATCTTTGATTGAAATAATAGAAATATGCTATTTGTTTTGAAAGATGTAGCAGTCTCTGTCTTTCATTGGAAATACCACAGCGAGAATAATGTACTTAATTCTAGGAAAAATACAACTAGAGAGAAATTTATAAAATGAAATGCATTCCAGAAAATAGTAGAGGGTTAAAATTCCAGAAAAGAACAGTTGAGGAAATGGAGAATGTTTTAGTCAAAGGAATAGAAGCCTTTATATACCTAAGGAGTACCAGATAAAATGAATAGAATGTAGTCTATATTTATCCAGAAATCAGAACCAAGATCCATGGTTAGAAAAATTACAAGGAAGCAGATGTCAGTTCATCTTAAGAGGGCTTTTCAAATAATTAAAATTGTTTAAAAGTGGACTGTTTGTTTTGTGAGATAGTGTGTTTCCTGTTCAGATGAAGACAAAAAGCCCAAGCATTTGGGCTTCCAAGATGTTTCATGCAGCACATAGCAGGTCTACCAGATGGTCTAGAAAGTGCCTTTGCCCTCAGAGATTCTGTGAGGCTATAATATCAGTGCATTCCTTCCATTGGTGCTGATGAATGGAGACCTGATTAAACCCATTTCTGAGGATTCAGTTTTTAGACATTTAAACAAAACAAAAACATTATTGAAAGGCGCCGTGCTAAGGAGGACCAGATGAGTTGATTACTAAGGTCCTTTTCAACTAAGACATTTATGAGTCTCCAGCTCTTTCTGAAGCTGACTTAACACTAGGGATTGTGACCTTAATAAGACCAGAGAACTTAGGGGAAAGGCAGCTTGGAAGAGAGAGGTCTAGAGAATTAAACATCTTCCACCCACAGCATAATGGAAGGAAAGTGCCCTTTAGGGGACCATGTTCAGGGTTCTGCAATGGGGTAAAAATAGAACTGTATCTTGCACTTCTTTGGGCTGTAATGTTGCAGTCAGAATAGCCCACCGAACACCACATCATGTAAAATATACAATGGCTCCATCAGAGTTACAGTTAAGCTAGCCACAAGTAAGCCTATGGCCCCACTATGTGCCAGGCATCATGCCAGAGCTGTTGTCTTGTTATGTAATTGAATTTTTGTAGAAATTCTCAAAGTATTAGTGGCCTCATTTGAAAGATGAGAAAACTCAGCTTCTGTGAGGTGACATCCCTTACCTATGTAAGTAAGAGACCTGGGATTCAAACTCAGGATTACCTGGACTTTGAATTAATCAAGAGTGTTTCAGGAACTCCTAAACTTTAGAAGTGGAGAGTATCTAAATGAGCCCAACTTCTTGGTTTTGCCTATGAGACAAAAATGAGGCTAGAGGGGACCAAGTGTCCTGCACAGGATTCCCATGTAAACACAAAGGAAGGCATTGGAGTCTTTCCGGGTTATGCTCCAGCATGAGTACAGGCTCAGCAGCTGTGCTCTGTGTATACTGTATTCACAGCTGTGAGAGAAACCATGCAACAGACCGGGTCAGGGTAGGCAGAAGGCTAGTGTACCCCCACCAACCTCTCTCCCTAATTCCCCTTTACAACTCCAAGTGTGCATGCAGAAATCTATCTCTAGACTAGATCTTGCAAACTACCAGTGTAGATGGGCAGAGTTACCTCCATATTCAGTGATCATTTGCAGAGGAATGGGAGAAAGGTAGGAGGAGATCTAACCTTTATCCAGTGCTATCATGTCTCAAATAAATGTATAAGTGACATTTACCCTCCCAATTCCAAAAGCCAGAGGAAAGACCTATAGATTTTTGTATCAGACCAGGGTTGACTTCCAGATTGGTGGAAATGTGAAGATTTATTTTTTCATGTTCAAAGTGGAAACAGTTATATCTATCTCAATGAAATGTCAGTATTTTGTCTCCACACCTGTTCTTTTCTTTCCTACCTTTGAGGGACCAGATCTACTTTTAGAATTATAGAAGGAGGGGTATTTGACCCTACCTGAAGAGGAGAATTTTGAATTAAAGGTCAGCTTTGGACCTTTGGAACATCCCTTTGAGGCTTTGTCAGATTTAATGCCTCCCTTTTTAAAGATAAAATTGAAATGGCTATCCCTTTCTTATTTCTAATTAGTGACATAGTGAGGTGATAGTCATGATGAAAGCCAGCATGAGCCCGGGAATGTGTAGACTTGAACTCTGGTCCTAGTTTCTCTGTACCTAGACCTATGTGGGAGGCATCATCAGCACTGCTCTGTCTATCCCAAGGGAGTGCCTTGTGGTATGCAGTGAGGTCACAGCAGGGAAAGCTTTTAAAATCCTCTTTGAAGGCAAGAATGTCACAAGAGAATGACTCTTAAATCTATCAACCCCCTGTAGAGAGTTTAATCCAACAGACCACATTACCTCAATACCTAAAGAATCAGGAAAAGCAATCTTGTTTTTTGAGTTTGTGGTTGTATCAAAGTTACTCAGTGGTGTCCCTCAATTGTTTTCTTTATGTGTAGACTACCTTCATGTCGCAAATATTCACCTGTTCAAGGAGAGATGGGACACCAATAAAGTGGACCACCACACTGACAAGTATGAAAACAACAAGCTGATTGTACGTAGAGGACAGACTTTCTTCATCCAGATTGACTTCAATCGTCCATATGACCCCAGAAGGGATCTCTTCAGAGTGGAATATGTCATTGGTGAGTGCCTTGGGCAAGCCATGTTGTGATAGTCTATCTGTGTCATCATGTTATGATAGTCATGATACCATGGGCCACATAGTAGAGAAGGATACAGGTGCAACTGTTTACTTCCTAGAATTATATTTTGACAATTGGCTGGAGCTGGGGCTACATCCTGCCCCAGGACCACCCTATGCTCTAAGATGGATCTGTATAATGCCAAACATTTGGGCCTATCCAAGTAAAAATATGTACAATAAAAGTGAGTATAATTGGTACAAATGTTAGTTAATTATTTCTCCCCAGTTGTTTTTGACATCCTATAGTGTGGCTTTTAATTTATCAACTCTTCTCTCACGATTTCATTGGTCTTACGTGCTAAAACTATTTTCAGTTCTTAGTATACAATCTCCATATAAGCATTTCCCAAACTCTGTTCTGCTCTAATCTACTCCCATAGGATGGCTCATGAAAGATAGACAGTTAAGTAAAGTTCACGAAACACTTTGTACTCTTATCTCCTTTTGTAGGTTGACAATATACATTAGCTTAACAGTTTTGAGAAGTACCATTTAACTCTGTTTGGTTGGGTGTTTCCCAAATTAATTAGATCCTGGTACCCTTTAAATTATAGTTATTAACATTTGACACATTTTAGTAAATATTTCCCTAGAAATTTATAGATATAGCAAGTAAACACATGCACAAAAAAGCAGAGGTGGCTCAATATCAGAAAACTATCTATATAATCCTACATATAAATAAATTAAAAGAAAAAAATCAGGCAATCAAATCAATAGTCACTGAAAGGAACATGATTAAATTCAGCAGCTTTTTTTTTTTAAAGACTTTAAATAAAACAAAAGTAAAAAAAAATTTCCTCAATTACAGTAAAAATTATTTACCCCAAACCAACAACTTTTGGTATTCTAAGTTGCAAAAAGTTAATTTAATTATAATGCGAAATTAGAAATACCTGCTATTGCCATTCTTTTTTTTTTCTAAGCTTTAAAGATTTTAGCAAATGAGAAATATCTCCTATAAATACTGAGAAAAATAAAATTATATATTTTGCTACTGCTATGATTGTATATATAGAAAACCCAACAGATTCAAGGACAAAGGCACAGTATTAATAAAACTTTGTAAGATGGCTAGATGGAAGATAAATACATAAAAGTCAATAGCCTTTCTCTTTAGCATTGAGAACCTAGAAATAGAAATAAGAAAAAAAAGTTCCACATATAAAAGTTACTAAAACTATGAAATATAAAAATGAATTTAAAAAAACAAGATGCAGAACACAAAGCAGCTATTAAATCTTAATAAGAGATGTGAAAAAACTTTGAAAAAGCAAGTATGTTTTTGGATATGATATCTCAATTTTTTTTAAATGTCCCAAAATTAGTATGTAAATATAATGCATTTCCAATTGAAGGATTTTTTTTGTCTTGAATAAAATAAGAGTTCATTTGTAAGAGTAATTACTTGGCAAGAAAATGATACAAAGAAAAAATAAATAAAAGAGCATTTTCTATCAGAAGCATCTATCAGAACATATTATAAGAAGTGTTTTGTGGAACAGAATAGAGAATCCAGAAATCAATGTCAGTATGTAAGATTACTTAATATGTAGTTGTTGGTTTTGTGGAGTAAGAAAAGTATGTGGGCTTTTTGTTTTTTTGTTTGTTGTTTTAATAAATTAAATGATGTTGTATTTTACATCTTGGTATTTTAGTATATATATATATATTACATGTAAGTATATGCATTTAACATATTCTTGTATTTAATATATATTTATCTGTATGTGTATAATTATATATATTATTTTGCATGTATATATATTTGTTTTATATATGCCAAAATACCACAGATGACCATATATATGAACAAATGACCAAAATATAAGTATATGACAAAAATATCACATATGAAGTCAATGGATAAAAGATAGAGCTGGAAAAATATTCAGAACATACATCAGAGATAAAAGGTTAACATAGAAAAAAAAGCTCTTACAAATTGACAATCTGAAGATAAGCAATAGAAAAATAGACAAAGTATATGAAGAGACAATTCACAATTAAGAAATTCCAAGTAACCTGTAATCACATGAAAACATGGTCAAATTCACTAGCAGACTGGGAAAGCCAAGCAAAGTCATTTCTATCCAATGGGCAAAAATTTAGAAAAAAGCTGTAATATCTGTTGCTGGCATGTATGTTGAGAAAAACATACATTGCTGATATAAATGTATAATTTCATAACCTTTTTAGAAAGTAGTTTGGCAGTATCTGTTAATATTAAAAAGACATATGCCTTTGATGCAGTAACTCCACTCTTGGAAATCTATACCAAAGATATTTAAAGTCTAGTTTATAAAGATAGGTATTATTTACTGTAGCATTGTTATAGTGACATAAAAATAAACACCCGTCAGTAGTGGAATGGTGGAATATATTGTGATATAGTCACCCAATGGATTGTTACTTTAAAAAAAGGATGAATTAGACCTATGCCAGATGATTTCAGGTGAGGTAGTGGTGAGGAAACGAAATATGGAGGAGTATATATGATCTTCTCTACGTGTGTGTAACTATGTCTGTGCCTAGGTCTGCAGAGTATTGTTAAGTGCAGAAAAGAGTAAGAAGCACACACATAGGTAATGACATGCATTCCTTGGTGGGAGATGGGAAAATAACCAAAATAAGGAAGGGAGAAGCAAAAGGAAAGGGGAAGCTAGTAAGGAAAAGAGAAAAAAGGCAAGGACGATGATATGATTATATGTAGGCATCTAGGTAAAATTATGATCTCTGTGGGAATATATATATATATATAACATTTATATATATTATATTTTTATATATATATTACGTTTATATATATATAAATTAAGAGTAATAACATCAAAGCTAAAAATAAACAACACTTCCTTAGAAAAAAATCTCTGACCCCTAACTACTTGAGGTATATGGTTTCTATTCCTTTCATTTACAGTACAAATTTGTACATAAATGTGGGAAAATCAGCTGAAGCCAGAGTGGAAATGGGAAAGGAGGAAAGAGATCGCTAAATAAACAACATCAGTACAATATGGGGGTTTTGCACAGAACTGTTTGCTATCCCAATTGTGGGGTGAGAGAAAGGAAAACTAAATTATCATTTCTGTATGTTAGGTGAAATGCAATAACCACAATTTCATTACATTTTAGGGAGCAGACTATTATTGTTAATATTTTTAAATAATGAGTACTTCAGGTGAGAAAGGAATCCACAGCTAATATTTTCCAGAGTATTTTAAAATCTGATGAAAATTTATTTGTATTTTTTTCCCCTAAGTTCATTTATCACTTTTGGGTCAGTGTGGGTGTGTGTACACGCACATTTGTTTGGACTAGATTTGATTAAAATGCCCTTCACACCTTTGTAATGCAATGATCACTACCCGTGTGTCAACAAATGCACGTTTGAAGCTCTGTCCCCAGTTTTGCTCCAACTACACAGGAACTTTTTATCTCCTTTATAGCCAAATATTTAGTGCAGAGAGGAGAGAGGAAAGCTTTGTCCCTGAAGTGGGCTTGATTGAGGTCTGAGGCTCTTTCCCACAGACCACTCAGAAAACAGTTATAATAATAGAAGTCTTAGGGAAGATGACAAGAGGAGTGTCAGATTGGGTTCCCAGTAGGAGCTGTGAGCCACTGGGGCAGGGTGGTTTGTCCTGAGTGGGAAGGTCAGGGCCATGACCACAGCATCACCACCGTGAGCATGTGAAGTCCTCCCTTCTTTTTCACAAAAGGCATTGTATTACTTTTGTTCCTTCAATGAAAAGGTGGGAGAGGGGAAGCATAGCAAATTTACCTTTGAGATAAAAATCCATATATTTTAAAAACCAACACGTATTCTGAATCCTTCTTAGACTCCACAATGTGTACTTTCGGAGTTAAGCTGTATTCCAATATGTGTAGCCTATAAATAGGTGTTATTACATTTGAGGATTTTGGATTTCCAAATTTCCTGCAGAAACAAGGAAAGAAAAATAACATAATTCCACATTCTACTCTTTAGTGTATGAGAAATCAATCACATTTGTAAAGGGCCTTAAAAGACCAATGATAGAGGATTTATCCCAGTTAGTGTTCTTTGTGCACCCCATGTCATTAGGGAGGTGCCATGACGGCCTGAGGCTTTATGACGGTGGTAGGACCAGGACTGAAGAGAAAGAACTGTGGGACATTCATGGGGCTCAGAGATATTTCTCTTAAAATGCAGTATTTGTGGGGCGCCTGGGTGGCTCAGTTGGTTAAGCATCCGACTCTTGATCTCAGTTCAGGTCTTGATCTCAGGGCTCCATGCCAGGCGTGGAGCCTTCTTAAAAAAAAAAAAAGAAGAGAAAAAAATGCAATATTTATTTCAATAGGATTGAATAAAACCATGAAAATTGGATTTTAAAGGTAATTGCTGTAATGAGAAGAGACAAGAGTATCAAATGTGCACTGGAAATGAAAGGAAGCACAGAGTCTTATACATACATGCAGGTGCACCTCAATTTCAGGAAACCTAGAAAGTAGAAGGAATGATTTAAAAAACAGGAAAGAGAATGCTTTGTAAAAAATAAAAACATAAAGAATCTCTTCAAATATTTCTTTTGAAGTGTTTATACCAGGATTAGATTTATCAATAAAGACCAATTTATAACACTAATTTAAAGAATATAACTATTGCATAGAGCAAGCTATCATTATATTAAAACACAGAAAAAAAGTCACCTTACACTTACTTGTTTGCAGTTTGCATTCAGTTTTTATTATTGTTCCTTTCTCTTTCCCTGTGACTTTGTGTCAGATGAGCCGGGATGTGCTAAGCACTGGAGTTTCCTTTGTTACTATCTTCAGAACCACAGGATTTATTTATAAATGATCCTGCCTTCATTTTTTTGGTTTTTTTAAAGATGTTATTTATTTATTTGAGAGAGAGCGAGGGGGAGAGCACAAGTGGGATGAGGGGCAGAGGGAGAA